CTGTTACTGTATCATCAACTTCAGAGTCTGAACCATCTGCAGCAGAAAACATTTCCCCTCTGACAACTGAAAAAGCTGAAAAAGAGATTTCAGAAAACTGCTGTGAAGGTGTGCCCGAGGTTAGTGTCTTAACACACTAGTGTTTTATCTGTACAAGACAAAAGTTTTTCTAGGAGGCATTGTTATAAGTGTTGTAGAGAAGAGATGAGATTGGTTTTCTTTTTATTTCCAAGATATGAATTAAAGGGTCACAGAATTTGTGTACTTAGTTTTTCAGCACGGCAGATTTTCAACGTTGTCAACATTTTTCAACACTTTTTCAACATCTTCAACTAAACTTTTCCGCAAGCAGTTTCTTCACTATATTGTTAGTTAAGTTGTAATTAGGTTTAAAAGGTGGATTCAGGTAAAGTTAACTCCTAAGTAGTGATGCATCACAACAGTGACTGTACTTAATCTTTCTAGGAATAAACATTCTTGCCTCGAAATGTTTGCTTTATGAGATGAATGAACTTAAAGGAAGCTTTATTTCTCGCTGTGTTTCTTATCATATTAACCCTTTTTTCTGAATTAATAGAATTTCTTTTTTTTTTTGCTTTGGAAAATCTTCTGGCAACTAGGGCAGCTCAAATTTTACCACTTGCTAAGTAATCATTATTCACATTGTAGGACGAGATCTCACAAGAACAGATTAAGTACCGGCGAACCAAGAAGGAAAATCAGCTTAAACAGGTTTGCATTGTTTATTGCATTACGAAGGAAACGTATGCTTTTCTGTCGTTTTCTTATAGGTATCACTTATTTAGGAAATTTTGGAAAAAGAAATCGCAGGTGATCGGCGTATTGTCATCGAAGTGAAGCCCGTTTACGTCGTTTTGGACACAAATTGTTTCATTTATCACTTAGAAAGCATAAAACGCATTGTGGACTCGCGGAAGTTCACTGTTCTTGTCCCAACAATGGGTGGGAATTATACTTTTTAATTATACTTTTTGTTTGTTACTACCGTTTTGAGTATAGAAGCGTTTCGTAATATTGACGTATTAATGATGTTTTTTTGCTTCATCTATAGTTCTGATCCTTTCAGTAATTGCTGAATTGGAGGGTCTTTGTAAACGTGCTGAATCTAAAGGAATTATCAGAGTAGGACAAGTTTTGGATGATGAACATAGTACTTGGATACAGCAACGTGCTGGTCTTGCTTGCGAATTTTTGCAAGAAGCGAAACATAAGGAGGTTTCTCAGATCAGTGCCATTTCAAGCAAAGGAAATAAGTTTAGGCTGAATTTTGCCTCCGAACAAGAAGAGTTACGCAGTGAAAAGGTATTATCACCCTTTTTGAATTTTCCAATTTATTTATTGATTTATTCGTTTCTCACATTGAATTCTTTGGTTCTTCAGTTTTGGGTTACTTCTTATGATTGTTACGACTGATCCGGTTATCATTTAGACCGTGAATGATGATTTAATACTTCTGACGTGTCTGGAGTTCTCAAAGCAGCAAGAACTTCTTTCTAGAGATAA